TCTCGAAAGATCTCGGACCCAACGAGAGCGCCAGTTTCAAGATGGCGGTTGCCTCGACTGGCGCAGCAAGGGCGACGCGATGTTTTCGAAGTTCTGTGTTACGTGAAATTGCGTGGTGTTCAGCTCGGCGATTCTTTCTGGGTGGGACCTACCGCGGTCGAATCAGATCGCCCTGCAGCTGAAGGAGTGCACAGTGGAAATGTCCGCCGCTCGCAGTGCGCGTCGACGCTGCGATCTGCTCAACGCTCAGCCTATTCCCACAGTTCATCGCCGACGGACATCAGGGTCATGAACTTCATTCCGTGATAGCATTGATAAAAGGTGCCGTTTCGACGGGACGACTGACGGAGGCTCCGTGATTGAATTTGGCTACGCACTCGTACTAGCCTCTGTACCCCGCAGAAAAGCGCGCTTGACGAGGCAGCTGTGGCTTGGTTTAATCTGAAATAAAACGATTGGACACTTTTTATTTTTCAATATGTCTTTCCAGGAGCATGGTTGCTCTATAAGCACGCGGAATTCTACGGCTCTAGCAAATTTAACCAAGATCATGCACGGTGTTCACTCGAAAACGTAACGCACAACTAAATTCGGTCCGAGCAGGTCATTTTTAGCATACGCTATACTATTGCGTATTGCTTACGTAAGATCCAGCAACGCTATACCAAAACTGTCTAATGGCACACTGAGATGATTGGCGGAGCAGCTGCTAGAGGGCGCGCGCATTTGGAAAGGCTCCATTGCGCGAGTACGCCAACCAGAACGAGCGCATTATGTTTATGAATTTACGAAAAGAAAGATGTATTAATCAGCACGCTTTTGCCAGATGCGCCAGAAAACATATAAATTCGTCTAATTTCCCACGCATCTGCACACGTTGGGCGGGGAGGCACTCACTTGATCGAATGACATTTTTGCGAACGCCCACGTTTCACCGAATGACACTTTAGCGAATAGTCGGCCGCTGCGAAGCGGCGTTTACGGGCGGGCCAAGTGTGTTCACATTTTTGTAATGAGCCGCCGCAGACTGTCGCCGCGAACTGTCGTAAGCGCAGGGCGGAGGGTGGGTTAACACGCGCCGACGTTATTCGCTGAAACGTAGATTCGCTCAAGTGTAGCTGTTCGCTAAAACGTCATTCGCAAACCAACGTTAATAGAACTCAGTTGGGAAACTGCCATAGGAGCCTGCTTTGAAAAAAGTGACTCCGATGCGTACTCGAAAATCGAACTATAGACGCTGTCGAAACGCCGCCACTTCTCCGGCAGCTGCCAGTACGGAAACTGCACGGCTACACGTACCGGTCCTTTCCAGTCGCCCAAAGGCCGGTGGCTCCATCTCGCAGTAGCTATATAAAGCTACTTTCATATTTTGACAAGCCGCTACAGGGCGGCGCTGTAATCGTATATAGTTCGGTCTTGATGGGGTGGACGCGTTTTAGTCCCTAAGTTTTTGGATTGAGTCCCAAAGATTTTCGCCTTTGGCCGGGCTCTTTTCGTTGGCCAGATCGATTGGTTCACCTTCGGTTGAAAAGTAGATGCGTGGGCAATTTGTAGGGCTGTTGTCTAGTCGCTCTTTCTTAAGGAGAAAGCCATTTCGTTCTATCGGCTTTTGTCTCCGAGAACTTGTGTTCCTAACTAGCAAAAAATAAAAGATGGAGTAAAAGTGTGAAATCGCCCTCTGAGCGTCCATACCTGCTGTTTTTACGTTCTGGCGTTTACTTCCGGTGCACCCTCCTCTAGTTGAAAAGTCTGTTGCTTGGGGCAGTGTACAGAAGTTTAAAAACGGCCGTACTTTTTTACTCCCCCCCCCCCTTATTTTTGTTTGGTTGTTTGAATCGGAGCATGCAATTTCACTGGAGTCGGATCATTTATTCTACTTTTTTTTTTCGTTCCAGTCTTCTGTATATATGTTTTTGCCATTTTGCTAAAAGTGTGCATCTCCCGACAAACAAGAACTCCACCTTCTTTTCAATTTTCCTTCGGGACTTTTCAATACCTTCTACGCGATGTTCGTTTCCAGGAATCTCTGGATAAAGGAGAAGTTCCACTTGCGAAAGCGCTCGCAGCTAATTCTTTTTATAGCTTCATCTTTCGACATTGAGTAGGTTCGTTCATTTGTATGCATTAGTACAGGTTCCGAATTTAATAAATAAAATTCGCCCTTTTCAGGGGCTTCCGCAATAACCTTGCTGCGAAATTCAAGAAGACTTCTGAAGTCTTTTGTCATCATTCAGCTTCTGATGGTAGGCGGCCGTGAGTCGCGCGAGATATTCCTGCTTCGCTGACCGCAAACACGTAATGACAGAGGATGTCCTTCTATTTAATATTAACTTTAATATCGACATCTTTCATTTGTATGGTTTTGAAGCAGACGATCTGCCCTGCATTAAATACGTTTCGTTTGTATATCTTTTTAAAGAAATAATATTTTAGAAGCCTGAAAGTAGGAACCGACATTTCGCTAAAAAACTCATTTTTTGCCAATTCTATACGCCTCGCAAGTGGGCTCATTTTCGTCTTCTGCGCATGAGAAAGGAAGTAGCGCTGACGTCAGAACGCCGAGCTCTGATTGGCTGATCGCGACCCCCTATCTCAGCGTCGTCTGCTCCTATGCAACGTCGTCTGCTCGCAACATCGTGTGCGTCTGTCTTACCTTTCCTGCGACTTTCGGAGCGAACCCGACATCGCCTTTAAGAGAAGGCAGACGAAATAACTCGAGCGGTGCGTTTTTTTTTGTCTAACAACTAGCAGACGCGCATCAAGGAGGGAAGTCAAAGGACTCACTGGCGAGGTGTCCAAAGGCGCCGAAGTTCGTTTGCTTAGAACTGAGAGTGAGCGTGTTAGTGTCCGCAAGTTCCCTCCCAAATACTTGTTCCCTCCTTTCGTGTGCGGCGAGACCCCTCACTCTTTAACGGCGTCGGCGGGTTGACGCAGTTAACGTCGTCTGCTTTACGTCTACTGGTCAAAGCGATGGCTGCTTTACCTTTCCTGCGTCTGTCGGAGATTCACCGCTTTTTTACCGGCAAGAGTCACCGATGCCTCGGGAAACAAGAAGATAGCAAGAAGAAGAAATTGACCTCTTAATCTAAAATTAAGGTCAGCGATCAAAGTATAATACGGGAAGGGTTCACAAGAGTCGCCCGGGCATATTCCATTCCGCACGCCAGCCGGTCGTGGGCAGACGGTCGCCGAGTAGCGGAGTGCCTACTAGGCCTAACTGCCCAGCTCGTTTGGTCGCGCTCGGTGGAATCTTGGCCGTTGCAGCTTTTCCCGGGTGTTTGTGGATCTAGCGTTCTTGTTCGTGGTGGTCTGTTTCAAGTACTTTTTTTACTTTTTTCTTGCTGCTTGAAGGTCGGGACGCGTCAGAAGCGCACGTAGAAAAATAAACGTCCGTGGGTCGTCGCGAGGGCGACGCTGTCGGCCATGCTGATTTGATCATAACAGCTTCGGAGCTGTCGTAGGATTTCGTCGTAACCTGCGCAAAACTTGCGAAAATTTCGTTTCGTGATTACGAATTTGTTCTCAAGTTTTGTCTTACGCACATTTCTGGCGTAAGATCGTTTCGTGATTCTGGCCTCTGCACTTCCGAAAGTCGCAGGAAAGGTAAGGCAGACGCAGACGACGTTGCGAGCAGACGACGTTGCAAAGGAGCAGACGACGCTCAGATAGGGGGTCGCGATCAGCCAATCAGGGCTCGGCGTTCTGACGTCACCGCTACCCCCTGCGCAAGAAACAGACGAACTTGCCCTCCGCATTAGCAAAACTAAGTTTGTTCAGTAAAAAAACAAAAAAAAAAAACAACTAAGCATAGCCTCCCCCCCCCCACACACACAAAAAAAAAATCTACGTTTGTTTGTTTTCTTCCTGAAACACTGTAGGCACTAGGCTATCAGGAGGTAATTTGATAGTTGTGATTTGTTGTACATTTTTACACGAGCGTGCGAAATTCCCACAGGGATTAGACTGGCGCCTTCGCGCGTTTAATCTCTATCATAAAACATTAATTTTGCACAACTTTAGAAGTTAGAACACTCTAAATCTGCCTCCGAGTTCGATTTCCCGCATTACACGGAGACAGCCAATCACTCTGAACAGCAGAATAATTTCAGCGAGTGAAAAAATCAAGATACAACTACATCAACGAAAAACAAAAACAAAAAAATTGCGGTATGCGCAGGGATTTTCGGGGAAGTGAAACGTCATGCTCATTGTCCATGAGAACAGCGCATTATTTTCGCCCTACTTGAATTCGGGGTTTTGCGATAAGCTGGAATCATTCTATTGGTGACCATGATTGGCCGTCTTCGTGGTCCGCAGAAAAGCGAACGTACTATATTTTTTATATATATTTATTGCTTTCAGAGTAGAATGTACGTTGAGTTACGAACCCATTCGAGACAGAAATATTTTTTTTATTGAATCCGTTCAGCCAATCAGAAGCACTCTTGGTATAATGCTGCAACGACCGCTGCAGCAAGTATGTCAATTCGGCACCGGTCAGGAACAAAGGGGCCCCGTTTCGCAATAAATAAGCACACTCCAGTTGCCAGGACAGACATATACAGACACACGCATATACAGGATCACATGCCGCAGGTTTCCTCAATTCTGGATCGTCTGAACCGATTCCACCTAGAAGACAGGGCGGGCGCCCTTCCGCCACATACGTCAGCACAAGTGGACCAGCGCAGCGTCGCCTATAACTTGCGTCAGCGTCGCCGCCAGCGCCTCTCGATAGCGTCTCACAACGAGCGCGACGCTAGCACGCGGCGGCGCCAAGACGAACGCGTCTGTCGCTTTGCGGCGTCTCTCGTTTGCATGTTTGCCGCTCGGGGGCGGGTCGGGCGTCCACCGACGGAAAACGTCACGCGCAGGCCCTGACCTCTAAGTGGTATCGTCTCGAAGCGCTTCGGTTGCCACAATTTCCTCGCGGTTGGACCGAATGAAGATGATGACTCGGCGGGTTATTTTTCTAACACTTTTTTACGGTACCGCTTGGTTTAGCAGACCTTCGGACACTCGTAATCCCCGGGAAGTCGCTTTTTCACGTGTACTCGGAGTCCGCCCTTGGCTTTGGTCACCACTTCGCACGAGATCTTGAGCTTGTCCAGGGGTCGGGTCGCCTTGAAGGTGTGACTGCGGAGCACCTTGGCGAGGATTACTTTTCCCTCGCGCATTGCGAAACGCTGACCTGAAGGAGGCGAAAGAAATCGGCTCGTGAGTCGCGTGTCTTCCAAAAACAAAATCTTCGCGTAGTTGATTTGACAAAGAAGGCGCCAGGCGTACGATGTTGTCGCGTCCTCTCCTGAGTTACGTGTGCTCTGGGTTACGTGCCTATCGAACTTTTCCAAATTAATGAATATGCGAGCCATTCTTGAAATAATTGGAAACGCGAATCCGAAAAACACACCAACATAGTTTTCTTTTCTTTTTTTTTTTTCTTTGTAGAATATAATGTTGTTACCTATTTGTTTCTCGAGGCTCGGCGCTCTTCATTGATTTAGTAGCCCTTTTTTTTGTGCGTTATACTTTGATGACATTTTAGAAATAAAAATCTAATCCTGAAGTGTTCATTTTAGTAATGCTCTCAATGTTCTGGTTCGACCAACTTTTCCGGTTTGATTGTGGCTCACTGAACGCTGTTACGCGCTCATGAAACGGTAACATTTTGATTGGCAAATTGAACTTTAGCGCTATTTTATAGTGTAGCATTGTCACATTGCTTGCATATGCATTGTGGGTATTTCGTGTTATATAATAACATTTAGTTTTTTTTTATTTCTTTTTCATCTGGGCGCACTTCTATTTGTCCCTTTGTTTTTCTTTTTTTAACGAGGAGAATTACAATGAGCCGTTGCAGTAATTCCAATTGTAAATTAATTTATGCTGACTTCTAATACTTACTAAGCAGATACAAATGTCATCTTAAAAACTCACACTTGTCGGAATATCTAGTCTTCTAAATTAAAATAAAACCTGTTTTATTTTTTAATTTTTACTTTAAAGAAGAAGATTTCGAATTGTCGTATTTATTTTTTAGTCTACGTGTAGCATACTTTACGATATGTTATTGCTACAATTAAAAATAATTGACATATTTCCGGTGTAACTTTCTGTCGTGATAATATTTCGTGATTGCTAAGTAGTCACTTTAAAACAAGGTTCGTACGTTTCTACACTAAGGTCTGTACAAAGGGCGATTTTTTTTTTCTCTAGCGGAAATCTTAAAGGAAAGGTGGGTTTAGCATATTGAGGTGAACAGTGCAAGCTGAATTTTGTTCTTACTCTCCTGTAACTGGTTCTATTCAGCACATCTACTTCCATACATTCTGTCAACATAAAGCAACACCTTGATCGGCTGACGTGGCTCGAAACTCCTTTCAGTACAAAAAAAAAAAAACAAATATAACGAATTAAATTTAAAACAGTTGTTCTTGGCGTGGCATTGCCAATATACACATCGCATAAATCGTAAATTTCGCAATTGTTGTCTTTTCTGTTTGTTTCAAAATACGCTGTAGACAGGATGGTGCTTTTCGACGTTCTGAAACCTACCAATGCAGTTCTTCGAACCAGCCGAGAAGGGAATGTAACAGAACGGATGTCGACTTGTGAACTCCTCCGTTAGAAATCGTTCTGGGATGTATTCTTCGGGCTTGTGGAAATACTTTTCGTTTCTGTGCAGCGTGAAGATGCTTATCCAGCATGTGACGCCTTTCGGAATCACAACACCGTCTGAAAGTGGAAAATAAAACACCGTCATTGCCACGGCTATTATGACCAGCCACAAAGCTAATGAATAGGAAACACTTCGCAATCCCTGAGAAAGCGTGGAGTGCACCGGGAGGCTCGAAAAACACGGATCATCGGGTTTATTGGGGACCAATCGAGTTTCTTATAATGGCCGCGAATTGCGAATCTTGGCCTAAGTAAAGGCTGGTTCGTCGCACACGTGGACCGCTTACGACCGATTGTCTTAAAACCTTTTGGGATCTGGGGATTGTTATGAACGACTATTTCTTATGGCTGTACGTACATTTTATCACGAAAATAATCTAGTGAAATGCAGTTCCAGGGCCGCCTCATTGATGGCGCTAGCGTGCCAGTGCGCTCTTGTCATAAGAGATCACAAGAACTCGATCGTAAGCAAACGCAAGTCTGTGAAGGGGCCGGGCTTAAGGCGATCTGCCACGAGCAAGAGTCTCGGGAAATCTATCCCTTCATCTCGCAGAGAAGCTGCAGCTGTTGCCATTTACAGGAAAGTGGCTGGCAAAGACGGGGGTAATAATGTTAAGACCTAGAGGAGGCAGTAACGTAAGAGTGCAATTGCGGCACAAGAACGTTCAAACGTTCTTACGTTGCACCGCAAGTAGTCTAGCAGAAGCTCTGCCTCCAAGATTCTTGAAGATCAAGTGCTTCCCGGTGCCACTCCGAACAAAACACGATCACACCACGTTTCTGATGTCACGGAAAGGGAGGAGCATCTGCCAGAACGTCGTTTCATGAAGAGCGGCACCAACTAATACGATATTTCCCGTAATGCAAAATACGCTTCGGTGCATTAGGCATTGAACGGAGTGGTTCTTATGTTGCTACTGAAGATGATATTCGAATGCCAAGAACCAAATCGCTGATTGCAGTCATGAATGAGGCTTTATCCAAGCCTCACGTCACCTCTGAACCGCACGGTGATCTGTGTGAAAGTGAAGGTGTATGCTTCTTTAAAAATATTGTCGCTTTTTTTCATTCTTCATGAAACTAAAACACCGTCCGCTGTCTCTACAGTGTCGGATTCTGCATGCATGAAACTATATTGTAAAACTTGGAGACCAATGATTTTTCTATTGCATTTCGTCTGAAATGGTTTCTGACCCTTATTGTTCACTAAGCTAGTTCCGCAACCTACAGCGACTAGCTCTACACGTTGTTGTCACGGAAGTCAGAAAAACGCTGATTTTCTTAGCACTGGAAGCTTAGAACCGTAGTTATATATAAGATAGAAATCTTCAAGGATATATAACCGACACCTCTTTCGCCATTCTTTCTATTCCCAATTTATGGGAGTGTACGGTGGCCCTTTCACAAGTTCCGATCTGTTATTATTATTTTCTTTTATGCCGTCCGTTGTTATTATCGTTCTTCTAAGTTCGCACATTCATTGGAACAATTTCATCTTTATATTGAAGTTTTAAATTTCGCGGAAGATTAAGAAAACCGCTTAAGGGCCCCCAAACCGAATGATGAAGACGATGGTCATGATAACTACAAAGATGTTGAGGGTTATTATTATGTTTTTTTATGATAGCTGCACTTTATACAGCTTATAGCTTTCCTGTGCCAATATGCATTCAGGATTACATATTATCATATTTAGGTTCGACAACGTCGCGCAATTCCTGGCGATTTTTTTAAAATTTATTATTCTATGGCGGGCTTGCGTCGTTGAAGAAAAACACCGTAGAGTACTGCTCACCCAATTCGATGTCTTCGACCAGAACCCTCCCAATGTACGGAATGGGAGGGAAGAGACGCATTGCTTCCTGTTAAAAAAGTAAAATATAAATAAAAACAATAAGATATGTTAGCACTTGCATCTTGCACTTTAACGAACGAAAAGGTGTCTTTACTATTCGGAGCGCAAGTTCGTCTACATCTTCTGCAGGGGTTATGGCGACGTCAGAACGCCGAGGCATGATTGGCTCTGATCGAAGTATAGTGGGTAGACCTCAAAGCAAGCTGCCTTGAGGACTACCCATTATCCTTCAATCAGAGACAAGCAGAGCTCGGCGTTCTGTCGTCACCACAACCCCTGCAAAAAAATAACCAGACGAACTTGCGCTGCTCCGCATATAACCCGTTTCATTCTAAGTACGACCGCACTCAGCACTACTAACCCATGGAGCCAATGAATCAGCACGAAAAGTGCATCATCATGGCGTTCATTTTCCTCGCACAGCATTTTTGCTGTGCCTGATTGATTTAGCCGGTGATTTCAAAAGACGCATAGACGATGAGTTCCTTGACTAGTAACGTTTGACGTTGCTTGATTAACTTAACGGTAAACGGGGCATAACCGGCAATGCAAAGCTGCGATTTATCGGCCGTCAGCTTGGACGACCCCTTGTGATCAGAGTGCGTCGGCATCGGGTACGCCACGCTTCCCAATATACATTCGAGCTGTTGCGTATATCGCGTCCATGAATTAATTGGTCAGGGTACACCTGTACGACCTTGGTTTTAGCCATGCGCTGTAGGGGCCGTCTCGATTCAAAAGCTCGATGCCTCACCTTTAAAAGAGCGATGCTATATGCACTACGTAGTGCACTTTGGACGGAAATTGCTATACGCACTACGCGGAGAGCTCATGCCGCTCGGGCAACCCTTTTTCGAAGTGCGCGTGTATCACTGGGGAGCTCGTTAACACAGCCCCCGCCTGCGTTCACGCCGCTTCGCGGCGACAGTATGCGGCTGCTAATTAAAACATTTAACCAGTACACGCCGCTTCGCGGTGTCCAGCCGGCAACCCAAGCCCCGCTGTCCCCGATCTGCGAAGTCTGCAAAGTTTCGTCGTCAACACTCGTTTTTTTTTTTTTTTTTTTTTTTTGTGTTCATTGCAAAAAAGAAATATAAATATCGCCAAATGTCTCGACAAAACAACGTTAAAAAAAAAAAAAAAAGGTAGGCCCACCGCATTCGAACCCACGTCCACTTGTGTACGAAGCGGACACCTTAACCGCTACGCTATACCACTTTTTTTTTTTTTTTTTTTTTTTTTTTTATTACCAGGTTTGCATAAAACAATACAGAATAAATGCGAAGAACTGTATGTTGGGGACGGTAATAGACACGCGTTACACAACACACATATAAAAAGTTGAGTGAAGTCTAGCCTGTCTTGCTAGAGTAAGTGAAGTTAAAAGGGTTTTAAAGTTGCCAGCTCATCCAGAACAGGCAGCCACTCAAGGTCACTGTTGATCTTTTTGTAGCATTCCCGGAGGCGTTTAACGCTGTCAATGAAATACTCGCGGACAGTACGGGCGTTTACGTCTGCATGACGTACCGCCGTTCGACTTTTCCATATACTGTGGAGCCCCAGGAGCAGGATTGTGTCAAATGGTACCGGTTCACTGTCTGCCGTTAGAAAACGAATCCCATACGGTGTTAACGGTAGTTCTTTTTTGATGGTGTGCTGGAGCACGTCCCAGTATAGCAAGGCATCCCAACAATCTAAAAAGACATGCTCGATACTTTCTGGCTGCTTGCATAATTGGCAGTTTACTGTCCAGTACAAATTTATTCCTTTAGCTTCTAAAAAAGTTTTTACGGGTAGTGTTTCACTGTGTAATTTAAAAAAGAACGTTTTAACCCCAGGGGGAACCAACGCTTTTTTAACACGTTTTAGCACGTCCTGTCCGGGGGCTCCAGCGTATATGGACCTATACCGTGGCAAGGGCATTAACAAATCCACCAAATCTCGCGTCAACCTTTTGCGCGATACAACAGACAAATAATCCCGAGAAAACCGTACAAAAAGGAAACGACACGATGATACAACTTCTCTCAAAAAACGCGATAATGTTCCGCAACGAACACGGCATGACGAAACCACATAACTGGGCAACACATCAAAGAGCTTTGTTTGTATCACCGTGCGCAGAAATGGGTCAGATTGATCGCGCACAAACATAAATCGTGTAACGAGTTGACGGATGAAGAAGTGACACAGACCAACACCACCATCTCGGGGTCGAAGGAAAAGATTGGTTCTACTAGTCCGTTCCCATTGAGACGCCCAAATGAATACTGCAAACACCCGGTTAATTCGCTGAATATTGACTCTAGAACAATGTAATACTTGAAGAACGTACCATAGTTTCGACATAAAGAACAAGTTACAAACCGTCGCACGTGCGAAGATCGACAATTCTTTCGTCACCCACTTTTCCGCGGTTGCCTTCAGTTGATTAGTTTCCTCTCGCCAGTAGTCGTTATTTTCGCGATAATGTTTTAACGGGACACCTAGATACTTTTGGGGTTCCCGAGCCCATTGGATATTTTCAAAAAAGTTTGGCGCAGAAGCCCACTCTCCGTGCCATAGCCCGTAACACTTCGACCAGTTGACCGCACATGCTGTGACGTCACAAAACCGCTTAGTCGCTTCCACAGCCCTTGTGACGCTTCTAGAGTCTGAACAAAAAACAGCTATATCGTCTGCATATGCTAAAATTTTTACTTCGCACTCGTGCAAAGTGAAACCCCTAATGTCCTTACATTGAATGATGTAGCGGCAGAAAGGTTCCAAAAAAATCGCGAAAAGTAACGGGGATAAAGGACACCCCTGCCGTACTGAAGAAAGAACGTTTATCCGCTTAGTGACTTCTCTGTTAATTATTAATTTTGTTGAACAGTTTAAATAAGCCATTTTTACTCCTTCGAGAATGAGAGACCCGATTCCTACGTGCTCTAAAATTTGAAAAAGTACGTCATGACATACACGATCAAAGGCTTTCTCCAAATCGATTTGGAGCAGTGCGATTGTCCGATACTCAGCATCACAACACTCCAGCACACTCCTAGCTGTGTGTATATTCGTACAAATACTCCGGCCTTTAATTCCGCAGGTTTGATGAGGTCCTACAATTTTCCAAATTACACTCTGCAACCTCCTCGCTAACACCTTCATGAGAACTTTATAATCAACATTAGCAAGGGTGATCGGTCTATAGTTGCTAGGGAAGCGTAGCTTAGAGGCGTCGTTACCTTTCGGTATCAAGACTGTATGCGTACACAAAAAGGAGCCCGGTAACCTATGATTCCGAAAAGACTCATTAAAAACCCGATGCAACAACGGCGCTATTTCTGGTTTGAATTTCTTGTAAAATGCAGCGCTCAATCCATCCGGGCCCGGCGATTTGCCTGCGCTTAGTTCATCTATCGCTTTCTCGATCTCTGTTACGCTGACTGGTTCTTCCAAAACTTGCTCGTCATCATGGTCTAACCGTGGAAGACTTGGCAGGAATTCTGTATCAAGACCCGTCTTTTTTGGTATTTTTTTGTCGAACAATGTTTCGTAGTATTCAACGAATGCACGGTGGATAAGGGCCGGATCGCTAGTCATTGTGCCTTCGTACTCTATTTGCGCTATCTGGTTTCCGCTAGCATACTTCTTTTCAAGGACAAGTGCCCGTTTAGTGGGCGCTTCCCCCAAAAGCAACCTCTCTGCTCGGGCACGAACAATCGCCCCCTTATACCGCTCTTCGTCTATTTGTTCAAGTTGCGCTTTTATGCTGCTTATTTCATCTTTGAAGATTCCGGGTGCCCTTCCTTCCTCCACGTGCAGCCTCTGTAAATCCGCGCGAAGACTGTTTTCTACTTTTCGTTCTTCACGCTTAATTTGACATGCCCTCTCTATCGCATCAAGCTTCACTTGTTGTTTAAATAATTCCCACTCCCTGCTGACTTCATTATCAGTAACACTGCTTGTTTGCTCCAGCCTACTTTGAACCTTTTCAGTAAATTGCTTATCGTCCAAGAGCTTAGCGTTTAGCTTCCATAACTCCCAGGAGTAGCTAGAGCGGTTCTTGCAATGACCCACCGTGAAAGTCACGAGGCTGTGGTCACTGAAAGACACGTAACTGACTGCATAACTACCACAGTCGGGCACAATGTCGACCGAAACATACGCTCTGTCCAGCCTCGCATGACTGCTACCTTGGTGGTGCGTGTAGATCACACGATTACCGGTTGACGTACATTGCGCTACGTCTTCAAGTTCGAAATCTTTAACCAAATTATTTAGCTGCTCCCCGGATTTATCTCTGTTGTGTGGTCGGTTTGATCGGTCTTCAGGTGAACAGATGCAATTAAAATCTCCTAATAATACCATGATTCTATCACTCTGGAGGTAAATGGAAATATTTTCAAAGAAAGTGCATCGCTCGCTTTCCACATTGGGGGCGTAAATGCATATAACCCTCCACTTTAAATTGGAGAAAGAAAAGTCACAAATAACAAAACGACCCGACGCGCATGCAATAACATTTTCCTCCACGATTCCTGATGCTTTCTTCAAAAACAGGCAACAGCCGCCTGACCTACCGACAGAGTGGCTCACACATACATTGTACCTCGACATAAACGGTCGCACCCTGAGGTCGGTCTGACTCGTACACTCAACTTTTGTTTCTTGGACAGCAAGTACGTCCAGGTCGTTCTCCGTGAGTAGGCGACTAAGTTGACACTGGCGGCGACGTGCCGCTAAGCCCCTAACGTTCAGAGTTCCAATACGGAGCCCGGACGTGAGCCCTACCATTTTTTGTTTTGTTTTTGTTTTTGTTTTTAGTGTCGACAGACCAACCTCCTGGTGCTTACCTGTCGCTTGGCTCCTGCAGAGCTCGGCTCATGGCGCAGAGGGTCTCTGTGACAGTTCCCCATCGCGGGTCAGCGACGAGGACCGCAGCTTGGTGGCGTAACGACCTTTCTTTCCGATTTGTTTCCACTGGCCTTGTGGGCGATGTAGCTCCTGTGCCTCGTTGTCCTTGGTCTCATCATCCAGTCACCGCTTCACATTCGCAAGGTCCAGTTCCATTGGTGGCTCGTTCACGTCACACTTGTCCACGGCGTCTGTGCCTCCCGCCGTCGTCGCTTGCGTCTCCTTTCCAGGTTCCTCAGCGTCGGGCGTCGAGGCCTTGGCCGTCACCTCTGCTGCGTTGGTACCGTTAGTTGTATCACCTGTCGTAGCTTGCTCCGTTGTCTCCGGTAGGCTCGAAGGCAGCGTCGCCGCCTCCTCCGTTTCTGTTTCGTCCATGATGATTTCGTCATCTTCATTGGTGGCTCGATTAACTACTGCGCTAGCATACGAGCGCACGCACTCCTGGGACACGTGGCCGAAGCCTCGGCACTGGCCGCACCGGGGCACACGGCAGTCACGTCGTATGTGTCCTGCCCTGCTGCACCGCAGACAAACCGGCGCTCGTCCAGGGACGACAACAAGGATCGTGCCCCCGTTAAGCTTCAGCTGGTGAGGCAACTTGTCCGGCGTCATTCCCTCCTTCAGCGTGACTTTGGCAATCCTTGTGGTGGACTCGATATCCTCGAAGCCATCCACACGCCAGTTTTCCTTGCTCACCTCGTTGACAGTCCCGTACTCTTCCAAGGCTCTTCGGAGAACGTCGTTGGGGACGTCGAAAGGTACCCAATGCAGCTTGACCCGCACTTCCTGCCTGTTGGGGTCCACGGGAATGCACAGTTTACCTTTGACGGTAAGCCAGCCCAGCTTGAGAAGCCGCTCTTTCGCCGCCGCACTCTTCAGGCTGCACAGCCACACGTGTCCCATCTGGCATACGCCGAGCCCTGCAACTTCTTTGAGCATGTCGACCTTTTCCAACGGTTCCTTGAAGTCTCCAATTCGAAGCGGCCTGGCATTTACGTCGCAGTGGAGATAAACTTGGTTCTTCGTTTTATCGCCCGCCGGCAACGTCGGCAACAGAATCCGGTAATCAGCGGGGATACAAAACGCCCTGTCACCACGGCCGGCAACGACCGTTATCGTCGCTCGATCGGAGCTCGCCATCCGTGCGTCCGCACTGCTCGGCAGCCGAAACACGAATCCCCTACGCTATACCACCGCTTAGAAAACCCGTTGTGACCATTCGTTTTATACGAGACAAACGTAGTGCGTATAGCAATTTCCGGCCGAGCTGCACTCCGAAGTGCATATAGCATTACTGCCTTTAAAAACGAATAGAAGTGTCATTTTTACGCATGCGGTATCCTATAATGGCAGCGATCTGCGCCTGATGGCCGTCGGAAATCGTTCTTGCGACATAACGAGTTGATCGCGCTGTATCACTCTAAAAAAGCCCGTGCGTCCACTTTCCCGCAAAACACTGGGAGAGCCAATCACCGCAACTTACGGTGGCAGCTCAGCGGATGACGATGCTGAAACATTTGTTTATACCAAAAAACGCAGTCTGAGTTGTGACATTAAGCAATGCGAAACGTCACGCTTGTATTGCTTAATGTCACAACTCAGACTGCGTTTTTTTATCTAAACATATGTTTCGGCATCGTCATTTGCTGAGCTGCCTCCGTCAGTTGCGGTGATTGGTTCTTCGAGTGTTGCGCGGGAAAGTAAACACACGGGCTTTTCTTAGAGTGTACCAAAAATTTTTTTTTTTTTCGTAGCTATAGTCTACCTTATTGTCTCGGTGCTCTTCTAAGGTATACAGGTACACATTAGACCACCCTATAGTTGTATTGCGAAATAGCCGCGTCAGCCGCTACCCCTTTATGACCTCGTTACACTACGAAAAAAAAAATACCCTTTTCCTGCCAGGAAAAACATAAATTATCATTATCTCGCACCTCTTTGATGTGTTCTAGAGCCTCTCGGTCTCAATCGTGTTGTTTTGTTCATGACGCCAAAGCGCGAAATGTTTGCTTGAATAGTGGATATTTCATGTGTCCGTGAACAGTGTTCGTTGTTTATCGCTTTCGTGGGAACGGAACCCTTAGCCGTGTGCGTAGGTACCAGACTTTTGCATAACGCGTTCCTCTTTCTCTAGTTATATTTTTCGGGAGGAAAGTAATAACTTCTTACTTTTCGAGAGAAGGACCGAGTAACATAGTCTCGTTAGATTTTTTGATCAAGTAATGAGTAACGGCATCTTGTTACTTCCGGAGAGGAGCGTGTACAACGCTAGTTACTTTCTTTTGTTTTCACTCAAGATCACTCCTGTTGCATTTATGACAGAAAAGCGCCAACAATAAACTAATAAAGATGCCCATAAATGCGTGACAGAGCTAAGCACAATCAACGACACGAAATATTGGAAGGCGGCAACTGCTTCAGAAAATCGACACACCCTGAGTAACGAAAAAGTAGCGTTATATTTGAGCTGAAGTAACGCGTTCTTTTGAATCTTAGTAACGACCAACGTGCATATTTACTTCTTGGACGAGAAACCAGTTTAGGTATTTAGTTAGTTTTTTTTCGATAATTTCTACATGTCTGATAGACACATGGTCGTAGACGAACAATTAAAAGGAAGGAAAAAAGTGTAAGGTGGGCGATCTTTCGGGGGCCAGACATTGGTTCGAGATTCTACGGTACAAAAGAAATCTTGTCTGTGCGCGGGCGTGGTGTGAAATTCCGCTGTGTACCAGGCTCACCTTGAGACAAGCCTCGAGGTACTTCATCCGGCGGAGGTCGTCCATTGTCACCTCCCTGTCCGGATTGTCCTTGAAGATCTCGTCGAGCTCTCGCTGGACCTTGCGCTGTTTTTGCGGATAAAGACCCAGCAAGTACAAGGTCCATGCCATGGCGTTGGAGATGGTGTCGTGACCCTATGGGCGAAAAGAGCGAGTTGTCGTGAGGCGCCGAGTTCGTCAAAACAAGCACTGTATGTGTGAAGAACAGCTTCACCGGTTCGGGAACACGAGGGGCTGATGTTTGCTTTCCCCACACATGTATTCCTGTGGTAACCGCCAGGAAGCGTCACTCTGACTTTTTTGTTTCTAATCAAGGTCCTACGATTCTTCTAGTGCAATTAATATTTATGTTTTTCCGGTTAGTCCGGAAATGTCTGACGTAAACAGCGTTTTGGAGTGCTTCTAAAACCCCGTTTACAGAGCTCCGTTTCTTTTTTTATGTTACGTTACGCAACGTTACTTTACGGGGAGCTTACGTCTTCATACGACGAGAACCACCGGGACATCCGTACTTCGTACGAAGCATGGAAACCACTTTAAGGAGCAACTTTGCACGCTACATTCAAGGCACGGATGTCCCGGTGATTTATAACGTAACGCAAGAAAATGTAATTGAACGCGCCTGTCTGGATGGCCCATTACGTCTTGATTTTCCTAGCGTTCTCGAATTCCCCGTTACTTTAGGGCGAGTGTGAACGTCATGGTTTATTCTAGGCACATCTGGGGGCTGGTGGTGCAATCTTTTATTTTTATTGAGAACGTGAGTTTGGTAAGTTATACGTGTAATATTTATTATATTATTTTATTCCGCACAAGAACCCGAGTGTTATTCGTACGCTAAACAGAAAATGACGCCAGCATAATTACTCCAGTGTACTTGGTTTCACATTAAGTCCGATCGCATACAGCCAGAGGTATTCGATCCGACGGAGCCAATCAAGGAACAGCAAGAAGTAAATCCTTCGTGGCACTCAACGTCTTTGTGCATTTGCTGTGCGGAGAGGAAGTCGTCTGCTTCATGCGCAGGAGTTGCAATGACGTCAGAACGACGCCCAGCTCTTATTGGTTGATTGAAAAAAATAGTGGGAAGACCTCAAAGCATCTAATATTGAGATAAACTCTTTTTTTCAGTCAGCCAATCAGAGCTCGGCGTGGTTCTGACGTCACCGCCACTCCTGCGCAAGAACCAGACGATTTGCTTTACGCATACCACTGGGCTAAACCAATCACGCGCAGTGACGCTAGCGAAAAATCTTATTTGTACGACAAATTTCCTCGTTCAATAAGCGCATAGGATCAAATAAGATCGTATAAGAGCATATAAAAACCTCACGAGAACACGTGAGGACAATATAAAATTGTATAGGAAGTTATGAGAAACTTCGTATAACTGCTTATATATGATCTTATATTGTTCTTATTTGTATCCCCACGATCTTACTTGATGGTGTGTGTTTATTGCAGTGAACAATTTCTCGTACAAAAACGTTTTAAGCACTAGGGGTGTGAGGTGTAATGCTGCACGTTTTTCTGTGCGTGATTTGTTTAGCTGGTTTGTTACAAATGCACAAAGACGACGATGCCCGTGATGATCCACTTTTGACGCTGCCTGATTTGTTCTATCGGATTATAGCATCGACTGCGCTCAGACTTACACTCTAAGAAACGCCTGCGCGTCTACCCACCCACAAAACACTCGAAGAGCCAATTTCTGCGATCTAGGAAATCAGCTCACCGAGTGATGAGGCGAAACATCCGCATAAAGCTAAAAATGAAGTTTGCGCTGTGGCATTACGCAATGCAAAGCGTCAGGCTTGCATTGCGTAATGCCACAACGCAGGCCTAATTTTGAGGTCTAAACAGCTGTTCCGCTTCATTATTCGCTGAGCTGATTTCGTAGACCGAAAAGATTGGCTCTTTGAGTGTTTTGCGGGTAAGTAGACGCGCAGGCATTTCTTAGAGTGTAACGTTAAAACTTCTTGCTGTACCTGTATTGCTGACTTCCTCTCCGTGAGTGTTAATTTATTTTAAACGATGACTATTAGTGTGTTATTGACCCCCCTTGTATAATGCCCCAACGGGCCCTCAAGGAATAATAAATGAATGAATAAATGAATGAAGTATAGGCGGAAACACCGCTTCTTACTCGTCTTAAAAAAACAGCAAGAGGATAAAGAGAAAATATAGCCGCCAAATTACTTCCGGGCAATCTATCGTACGGGATTCACCCCGTACAAAACTTTCGTCTGTATTATTAAAATTACAAGGGTTATACGAAAAACGTATTTCAGCTTTATGTTTGTTTCTACAAAACAATTTGCATTTTATGTATAAATATTAGCGAATTATGCAAACTCGAGCGTAGAAATGATTGAACGCAAAAATGGTAAAATTAGTGAAACCAATCAGACTCCCCCGCCCCCCCCCCCCTCCCCAAAAGAAAAAAAAAGAAAAAAAAATATAAATGAAGAAAAAAAGTATCGATGTAAGACGAAGCAATAATGCATCTGTCGGAACCTGAACATGAATAACCTACACGCATGACAGGGTTAATTATAAAAAAAGAGAAGAAAGCACTTTCTACAAAAAGAAAAACATTTTTAACAGTTTAGTTTTTCCAAATCTTTTGTATATTTCTTTTTCTGAATACGATGTGCTAACAATTTGAAAAAAAAAAAAAAATGTTGGTTTAGGTTTTGTTTACTTGCAAGAACGTTGTGGGAGAGGTACTCACAGCGAAGAGGAGCAAGTCCAGGTCTTTTCGTATCTCGTGAAGGGTGTAACTCTGGTCCTTAAGATGCTTATCCAGAAGAATGTCCACGATGGCCACGCGCCTTTCTGGTTTGGCGTCGTCCTCATCTTCCGGGCCGTCCGGGTTGCTTTGGTTCTTGAACAGGTGGAATGTTTCTTTCCGCTCTTTCATCACCTGAAACAGATTCCATCCCGCACGCGTGACCAATCCGATGATGCACAAAAAAACTAGAATGGCCCGAGTGAAGCACAGCGACAATTTCTAAACGTGTAGTAACTGAAGAGTGGTTCACCACACTTGCCCTTGCTTACGACCGAGTTGTTGTGACCTCTTACAACGAGAGAACACACGGTCAGGCTGGCGCCATCTATGAGGTGGCCCTGGAACTGCATTCCACTTGAGCGATGGCTTTGCAGTATTTATTAGGTTAATGTCCGCACTATCTATAAGGCATTGTCGCTTATGATATTTAAGGCAAGCTAAAATTAAAAAGAAACGTTACGCGGAAAGAAAGTAGGAATTATACAGAAATTCCAAGTGTTCTATGGCTATTCAATAGATGGCGTTATTTCGCTCTTTCGACGTAAGATATCCTAAGAAGTGTTAAAGCACTTGATCGAAAAAAATCACGTGTGTGAACCTTACGCTGACTGACAAGAGTTGGGGACGTTTCCCTTGAGTCCTTCAACTCATCCCATCTCCATTTATATTAGACTTTTTGCATATTTTCGCACGACGCTATAGAATATTAAAAACGATATTCAACGAGGGTTTATCTGTTTATAAAATAAACGGTAATCAGTTCTTTGTTGTGAATTTTTATCATATAGATAATTGGGAGTTGGGTAGGGCGGTCATTTAACGATTATTAGTATTCATTCGATGTTCTTATTGAAGCAGGTATTTTTTTTTCTAGTAAGAGAACACTTTACGATTGACTTTAGGGTCGCTACTCACTTTCAAACTGAACGTGTCGACTCCGTGTATCATTTTCTTGAACCACTGTCCCTCCAGAGACCAGTTATAGACTGACGTCAGCCACATCCATGGTCTGAAGGCACGTATTGTCATGAGAAAAGTGATGCTGAAAAAGAGATCAATAAAAGCAGTCGGTTTATTAGTAGAAAAACGAAAAAAAATTATAAACCGACCCCTTTCGAATCCGATCCACTGCACAATGGTAGAACAACCGACACCGCTGAACGTGCAGGTAGCGCAAGCGGGTAGCTTCTATACTCAGTCTCGCAAACGTCTGGGGTGTCGACAATGGTGTGCGCACAAGCGCGTGGCCTTTCGAAAGTGATTTTTATGCGTTAACTCTCGTACAGACAAGAGCACTCCGTTGACCTAGGCTCATGTGCCTGTGCATTTGGCTTTCCTGCAGACATTTGTGATATGGAGTATACTTGGGTGGAGCGGGAACAGTCGCGCTCCACCCAACGTTTCGCTACAGCCCTATCGACGACGAACACATTTACGTCTTTTTTTTTGACGCAGCCTTCGGCTGACGAAGCTAAACTCTGCGTAAGCGTTAGGCTGAGGCTCGCGTGCAGTCACTGAATAACCCCTTCGATACAATTACCGGGCGAACGCAGAAGCAGAACTCGTATACAATCTATGCCCGGCGCTTGGCTGAAGTAGGTGCCGTAAAGAATATAATGCACAGGACTTGTTTGGAATAGACGCCGAGCTGTGGAGAAAACGAGCTGTACAATACATCACCGACTTGACGGTTGACGTAACGGTTCTCTCTTTTCACGGATATTGAATGGCTTGTGCGGCAACGCGAGCTATTTGCACCATACCTAGAGTACGAAATTTCTAATAGACCCTTTCCGAAATTCAGTCTGGCAACTTTTATCCCTATTGCCATCTGAAAAATGGCATATTTGCTATACTAATGGTGGCCTTCTGTTTACTGATAAAGGCAGATGTTGAAGATTCTCCTAAGCAGATGATTTGAGGCCTATACATTGTAGACGTTAGAGTGACTTGTAGCAGGAATTGGACGCAAGAGCTGCGTAAGCGTTCATTTCTAACTCGGGCCCAGTCAATCTGTTAGTAGCACACACTCGGCTTCAAAGCCCTTGATGTATATAACTCTATCAAGGCATCTATGTGGGTTGGCGCTTCGGTCTGACTGGTTGCCTCTATTTCGCCGTCGACACTGAAAAAATTTGAAAAATAACTGACATTCTCGTTTACCGTTGACCTGCAACAGTGACGGTGCCCCATAAAATACTGCGGACCACAGGTTCATTGCCACCATTAGTACGGTAATGCCAAACTGCCATTTGAGTCACCATGTGGCACTGAATTCCGGGAAGGGTCTATTGAGTGCAGAAAGCAAAAAACAAATAAACTTCGTCTAGTGGAAAGAATAAAACAAGCCGAGGACCGCAGAAGTGATTTTGTTTAGTCCTTCGTTTAGTCCTTTGTCTGTTTTATTTTTTCCACGATGAATACTTAACCAACACGCTTTTCACGAATAAAATAAACTTGTCTTTCTTAAGCTGCACCAGCAATTGGTGTACCAGGTTTGAACAAATTGGAAATGATTAAATTGGGTTTATTAGAACAAAAATGAAAATTAAAAAAACACACCTAGAGTTCAGAACAAACAGCTTCCAGAGCTGTTCCTCTTCCCAAATTAAAAAAAAAAAAGAAAAAAAAAGTTTAGCGAGCTTTTACAAGGAAAGGTCTTGCGAACTGCTAGTTTTTAACGGGCTCTATTTTCAATCAATGCTCTCATATTGGTAACGGTTGAAGCAAATAGAAATTATGAAATTTCGCTCTTGATTTGGCTTTTTGATACGGTTCTATAGAAACACTTTAAGTGCACGTCTCTAGTGCCTGCGTGTTTTGGTTTGTCTTTTAGTTAGATATCAGAGTCTCTCACCCTCCGATATACTCTCCATACGTCCCGTTCTCGTTTTTCTGCGTGTTGAGGTTGATTCCAAGTAGGGCTTCTGTAAAAAGGTAGAGAAACCACAAAAGAAAGATGAATCAGTTTGCTCTTGCTCCACTCCAATATCAGAGCCGGTCGAAATGACACTGTGCAAATATCTAACACGGGAACAAATTATACTTCAAGCATTCGCGCTGACCAAATATTGAAGCATATGGCGTACTACATAGAAACTGAAATACCTTTCGCGATTCACACTTATGTGGGGACACTAATATTGAACGACGGAAAACATTGCCATTCCAACAAGGTTTGCGTTATCTTGCATTTGCTCGGTGCGAGAGTCATTTACAGGGTTATTCGTATAGCTCTTCCTTCTTTCATTTTGTTCTGGCCGCTATCTTTCCTTATATATAAGTGACAGTTGTTAATTAGGACCGGCGTCCTTCATTTCCGTCTGTGTCTATTCACTTTCCGGTGTTTAAAGTTAAGTAGTTTAACTACCTATATAAAAAGGCGGGTTAATCTTTGGTCTAAAATTGACAGGTTAAACTGTCTTCTTTGCTGCCATTGTATAAAACGCCACGTTTTCTTGGGCATCCAGGCAAGGAGCTACTAACAACGCGAAGTGAGTGAGCCAGGCTCACGTTATTTTAGTAATTAAAAAGATAAAAACAGCCGTTGATTAGGCCGAGGTAATTAAGCGAGCGTTTTAATTTTGTGTGTTGATCGCTGCTATATTGTCATACACTGGGAGCTGCTGCACACGCGGTTTTTAAGCTTTGTTGTCTAACCCTGGCCTTGTTGCGGCGGCGCTTCTCGAGAGCGTAAACCATAAAAACAGTTTGCAGACTAGGAGAGTGAAAGTCGCTTAGTCCTAAAGGCCTTAAGCCTTAATTTGAAGCACTTAATTTTCGAAATAAAAAGGGCTGGGTTAGAACTGTACAGGTGTGATAATATCGTTAAACAAAAAAAACTTCAAAAAATTTAAAAAAAAACTTAGCACGTGATGTTGGAAACAAGCAACAACAACGACCCGACCGTAGGTCTCAAACTTGGTATACATACGGGTCACAAATGTCGTTCTTTGGTGATTCAGTCAGGTAACAATAAAGCGGGCGTACGCAAGCAAAAGAATTGATCGGTCGCAGAGAATAAACACCTTACTTTGACCTAGACTTAGAAAGCCTCTAATTACTTGCCGCACCATCGCTCAGCCTGAATCAGAAATAAGTCCTAGGTACTCGAACATAACGTGCCTTGCTGAACCGAAAGGTGTTTTGTTCAGTTAAAATTCTTCGAGTACGCTCGCCGACACGCGGATCGAAGCACAAAACCACATGTAATACCATTGCAAAAAATTATATATATATATATTGGCAAGCGCGAGCTCTCGTGCAGTGAGTGTCCATTCAAAAATCTTCGTCTACCGGAGAATTAAAATTAATTAATCATGAACCTAAGCAACAAATGATGAGTTAATCGCTTACTCCTCCTCTTTATAGTCGCCCCCATGGCGATTAGCTGTCTTCGCGGTGTCACCACATCAACGATAAAAAGGCATACCTAGATCTATTTTATAACCCGACCACAGCCAACGGTATGCGGAGCGCAAGTTTATCTGCTTCTCTTGCAGGGGTTGCGGTGACGTCAGAAAGGCACCGAACTCTGATTGGTTCTGATCGAAGGATTGTGGGTACACCTCAAGACAGTTTACTTTGAGATCTACACGCTATACTTCAATCAGAGATAATCAGAGCTCGGCGTCTTTCTGACGTCAACGCACTTCCTGGAAGAGAAGCAGACGAATTTGCACTTGGCGTATGATCTGATCAGCCAGTCAAGCAGCCCCTCCCCCCCCCCCTCTCCCCACGCCCCCCCCCCCCCCCGTCCCCCCCACACACACAAAAAAAAGAAAAGAAACGTTTTGTTACGGATTTTGTTGACTTTTTATGAGTACGCCATCAGCGGTAAACTAATCACGCACACGAAAAAGCTCGGGATCGTGGCGAATTCACTGCACACGATTGGTGTAATCGGGGACATCAAACGTACAAAGGCGACGACCACCGTGTTGTTACACTTTCTATAGCTTTTGGATAGACTCCCTCGGATCTATGCGGAGCGCAAGTTCGTCTGCGTCTTGCGCAGGGGTGGCAATGATGTTAGGACGCCAAACTCTTATTGCCTCGTCGAAAAAAAAGAAAAAAAAAAGTGGGTAGACCTTGAGGCATCTAGCTTAAGGTCTGCCCACTACTATCCACCCAATCAAAGCCAATCAGAGCTCGGCCACGTTCTGACGTCACAGCAACTCCAGCGCATAAACCAGACCACTCGCTCTCCGCATAGCGTCGGCTTCGGTAGGACGTATTCTGTTGGGCAACCATGTTTCTCTACCACTATCCGTTGCCAGGTATAATCGCTGACAGCTTGAGAAAAACGCCGGGAGTGGCTTTCTCTGTGCACGCTTCTCGCTGATTGTTATTTGTTATTCGGCTTTCTTAGCGGGAATAGCAGCGGCAGTATTGTTTGCTGGAAGACGGTAATGAGATGTTTGGGACAGGCCACACCTCGCGTTTCTTAAGCTGTCGCTGATAATAGAGGTTATTTACTTAAAAATCGTTCCCAAAGTACGGTATCAGAAATAGCGAGACTATGACTACGGTAATGTCATTTGTAGTTGGGCAAGTTGCTACATCTTAAATTGGAAAAGCTCTAAAAAAAAAAAAAAACACGAGGACCTCGAGAAGAATTGGACGAAACGAGGGGCCCGGAGAGCGTCTCCGACTGGTGTGATTAGCGTCCTTATCCCGCCCATACATCCAAAAGTGGTTCCAAGGTGACAACGAATAACGTCGTAAAAACCGGAGTGTCGCACTGTCGCATGTCGCGATCCTGGCGGTTGGCCGTAGGAATAATGTCGAACAGCACGAACGGCCGCGAGTGTCTCTGTCAATGCCGCGTCCCAACTTCTCGCTGCCGAAGCTTCCGTGGACTGTCACACTGGAGAGCGACCTGCAGCAGAACAGGCGTCTGCCGCATCCAGGACCGCTGCTGGGACGCCGCCAGGATCGCGACCGGCAACAGCACGACACTTGCGTGACGTCGGCGGGCAAAATGTGTAATTAATTATTTTAATTCCCATTGTTTCTCCTCCCAGATCCCTTACTCCTTCTTACTCTGGGGTCACTACAAATTCGAATTTAAACAAAATACTTGTAATACAAAAGAAAATATTGCGAAGTATTCGTAACGTGTCATACGATCACCCTAGTGAACTTCTCTCGAAAAGTTTAAATTTGATGCCCGTAAATAGATTATACAAATATCGTTTATGCATGACCTATAAATCAGAAGTACAAATAAATCTTCATTCCCTTAATGAATTGGCGTCTCTCTCGCCAAGAGTAGCAACATATCCTACTCGAAACACGCAAATTAGGACGCTCCCTATTTGCAAAACTAGGTACGGTGAACAAATGTTAAGATATGCACTTCCCCGATTGCTTAATTTTCTTGTCACTCACAACACTGATCTTCCCACAACATCCGTAAAAAATCTCCAAGTACGATTGCTCAGTTGTCGTTATGTTTCATAACCTTAATTTTTGCTAAGTTGAATAATGCTGTGCTTGCATGGGTACTTATGTACTTTGTTTGTTTTAGCCTCTTATATAGCTGCACCTTTTTTGTAATACTGTCCTGCTTCCATCTCTGAAATTGTTAGCTTTTCTCTTGGTTCTCTTTTTGGATTACTTGTGCCACTGCTGCTATAAATGAGGAAGGGGAAAAGGGGGGGGGGGGGCCGTCAAGCTGCTTGATGCAGCTTTTTTCCTCGGTCTCCCTGCGTTATTGGTGTTTTGACGGAAAACAAACATTATTATTATAAATCGAGGTACCACTTTTTTGACCGCTGTAAACAGACCAGCGAGAGACGCGTTCCAGGTACCATACAATGACCAAGTATAGCTGAAAGCTGCCGTGAATCCCAACGGTGCCGTGCTGAATGTTTCGAGGCTAGGAATAGAGTTAAATAAGGAGTTTGGCAGAGCTGCTCGTGTAAACAAAGCATTCTACATTGCCATGATCTGGTGTCCGTGCCTTGCGGAGTCGGGCACAACACGTGAGCCAAGTGTGCCGAGGGGACCCCTTGTGTGTGTATAACGTAATTAAACTCCAGATCGAGGAAAATATCATGAACAATCACCCGAAAAAAATAAGAAAAAAAAAAAAAAAGACGGGGAAAGGGAAGGGGGGGAATCCCAGTCTCTTTTTTCCTGAGTGGTTATGTTCGTTCCCGCACGTTCACAGGGTGACGGAGAGATGGCGCCACCTTTCTGTTTCCTTGAAAATTGACTTCTAATAATGCGGGAGCAGAGTTGGCAGAATGCACTGAAACGAGAGAAGTGTCATGTCCACCGCTATACCAGAGCTATAGTGCGTTCACCCTTAAGCTTAAGCGGGTTTCACATGCAGCGATTTTGGCCCTAAAGCGGCGCGATTTCTGCCGTCGCGGCGCTCGTGCCGCTGAATTGCTGGTGCTGGCTAGAGCGCCGCGACGGCAGAAATCGCGCCGCTCTAGGGCCAAAACCGCTGCATGTGAGCTAGGCTTTAGACTAGAAACTCCGCCTTCAGCGCGAGCTCGCTGGCTTCCGCTGTGCTTTGGTTGCGGGTGCCTGCGCGTTCACATTTCGCTTAAGGAAAGAAGAAAACTGGCGCTTGATGTGGACGTGTTACATACAAAATAACAGTGGCACCACCTTCCGGAGCTGTTTGTAAGCAGGTATTTCTTCGATACTGTCGCAGAAATTAGCAGGCCACGAAGTGAGAGCGTAATCACGCCTCTACTTAATCGCTGTTTCCAATGATCAACGAGCACGTACGAAATAATATCATAGCGTAAAGCTGTGCTCTACACTTCGTTTGACCTTAGGTCCAAAAAAAAAAAAAAGCCGACATGAATGGGTCACTCGATATGGTATTTATTCTCGCAAAGGTTTTTATTTGTACATGACATATGAGAGCCCAACTACCCAGAACACAATTTGCGTCTCGAAATTCGTTTTCCTTCCGCCCGGAAACCGCCGATCGGGAACTGGCCGGTTTGAGTCGCGCTCACTCTCTTCTACGTGGTCACCTGTTGTTCGTTATGGTTTAGAGATACACACACACATATATAATCAAAGTCGCCGGTAATCGAAGGCTCACACTCGATATTAAAAATATATTAAAAAACTGAAAAACATTTAGAACTCGCTGTAATGCCGAATTAGAGCGCAGCTCTTCAGGAGGAGGAGGGGAGGATACGGAGGAAACGGTATGCCCCTCCTCCTTATCTGTACCGTCTCCTCCTCCCTCCTCATCTACTCCTCCCGTGCTCCTCGCCTCCTCCCCCTTCTCTAATCCTCCTCCCTCCTCGTCATCCTTCCTCCTCCTCCCCATCCTCCTCTTCCTTCCTCCTCCCCCTCTCCCTCCCCCTCCTCCCTCCCGCGCGGTGCATTATGGAAAACGTCCCATAATGCAATGCGCGCGTCACCGCGGTGCGTTATGGAACGTTTCCCATAATGAAACCGCTCAATTACGCCGACAACGACGCCGACGCCGAATGGGGCGCGTTACTCTTGAACTGTGATGTCTGCGAAAGCCGAACTATGACACTGTGGTCGAATCAATTCGACATCTCAAGTGACATAAGTCGGCTTTTACGCCGACTTATGTGGCACGTTGTGTCTGAAGACTTCTATATTCGCGTATAGTCCACCCCACTTTGCGCATTTTGCCCTTCCCCTCACTCAACATGGTTTTAGACACCACACCCTACCCCTACATCCGCATTGACTATTTGAATTTCTTGGTTTGCCGCCACGTTCAAAATTTTCTGCTCATTATTCCTTTACTTCTATTCCCCTCCCCCTGCCCGTGTGAGTCTTTTTCCCCTGATGGGCGGATAACATTTACGCACGGTCAATTACGTTTTGCCCGTCTAATAACTACAACAGTAACAACAAATATCTTTGACCAGGAACGCTTACTTAATGCGTGTGCAGCAATTCTGTCGCACAAAGACTGCCACGTGATGGGACGACGCCACATCACGTGGTCATCTCACTTGAGATAGCATGTTGTGCGACGCGACCTCGACGCGTAATGCGGCTTGAGTTTACAGGTTTTGGTATAGACAGAATTGCACCAGCGCTAACAACCCTATAGCGCATTCTACTCACAAACATTTCGTCGGGCATGATCGAAACAGGCTATAGTTACCTCCAACTTAAGAAACAGTCCCGTGTCTTTTAATACCACTCCTAGGCCAAGAACACCGTGCCCTATATCCATAAGAATACCGAAGAACGCACCGCTTGCACTTTGCATTAGTTGAGCTGAATTATTGGAGGAAGATTGATTATCGGTGTTTCGAAGGCTACGCTGGTCAGTAGTGACGCTCCAGTTTAGAGTGTGTACAATATAAGCTGAAAGCATTCATTTATCACACAGGATATAGTAGCCCCTGAAATATTTATACAGGCGCTAAGCCATTACAAGCTTCCTAAGCTTCCAAACTTTCATAAAACGACGGTAGGACAGCATCCAGAGGGAGAAGGGTAATGCAGCCATGCACGGAGCAGATGATATATAGGGAAGCAGCGCAGTGGATTGATCGTGTAAAATCTGATATTAAAACGCCTCCGTGTCCCCAAGTGCCCAAACGTCTCTGAGATCGCCTATACACAAAGCTCTCCTTCGGTCGATGGGCTCGATCTCTCAAGCACCCTGTTCGCTCGTGTAAGTGCTCGGGCTTTATCGGGCGCTCAAGCAATGTTGATCAATTTAAAAATGCTATCTTACGGTGTATTAGGAAAGCATAGTGGTCATGCTCCCTCGTCTAGCGACCGAGTATTTCAAACGGTCGGAAGGGAGATTTGCTCACCGGCCATTTCGAAGTAAATGACGGCAGTCTGTAAGTTTGCAGTTTGACTACTATATAGGCCCTGACAGCTTAAAGGAGCTGTGCAATAATTTCAGTGCTTTGCTTCGCTTGAATAATTTGGGAGTTGGTGTCTCGACCTTTCTGAGGTAAGGATATGCAGGCAAAAGCGGATTTTTGTTCTTTGTGTTTTTGTTCGCGCGGAGTTCCGGTGAAGCTCTATCTTTACATCCATCTTTGAGCAGCGAGAACTCATCCGCTCGCGACCGCGGGACCACGTGCTGGCGCAGCGCCAACAATATGCTGAAAGGAGGAAAGTCTTATCCGGGTCCGGCTATCCCCGCCCGGCTGGTCCTCCTCTGCTTCCCCCCCCCCCCCCCCCCCTTTCCCTCACCGCCGTCTAGCGGCTGTTCGCGGTAGCAGATGGAGCTGACGGTTTTGTGGACCTAGGATAGATGGCGCCACTAAATCTCCGTATAACAAAAGTTTTGTCGATAATACCAAGTTTTTGATGCATTTATATTTATGTTGGAACGACAAGATTTATAGAAAAGTTAAATTTTATCGAGCAGGTATTCGCACAACTTCCTATCTCTCTACAAGACCCCCATTGACGTCATCCCGCGTGGTTCTCATGGCCGCCGCTCGCGGCTATAGGTTGGGGAATATTTTAATTTTTGCCTCGCGATTACGCGGCGGAATCGTAACATTTCGAAGGAAGGAGGTGTGTCTTCTGTCCTTCGTGACAAGGTAAACAATATCAAAAGTACAAGATGCCGATGCTTTCAACGTTAAAATCGTTGCACAGCTCCTTTAAAAAAACACAGGGCGTGGCTGGTTCCGAGCACGTTTTTCGACAAGGTACAATGAGGCCCCCTCAGGAGAATTTTACAATTTTATATTTCGGACGCTCGAGTTCATTATGAAAATCGGCCTCGGAGTCCGCCACGTCAAAGTGGCAGCATTGCCTAAAATAAACCCCCGATTGAGGCCTCAGAGTGTCTACCGTTGTTTCTCCATGAAACTTAATTTCTTCAGGGATGTCTATTAGCACTAAGTTCGTTTGAGCTAAGTCTTAGACAGCCCTGAAAAAGCCAAGTCCCTTAGCGAAACGTCGACTGTTACTTTGAGGTTTCAAAAGGGGGGGATCAGTGGCCGAGTGGGCTGAAGCGCACACCCAGCTCGACGCACGTGGAGCGAAAGCTCGCGCTGCAGAACCCAGGGATTCTAGGTTCGAGCCCCACCCCTGCCCGTTTCGATCTGGATGAGCATCGTACCGGCGTGCTGTCGTGTATCACTACTGCGTGGTGCACGTTAAAGACCCCAGGCTAGCGGTTATACCGCATTGGCCAAATTGCTCATCTACAGCGAGTAACTCGTCGCAACTTTGAAATGGCTGACCAACTACACGCTGTATAAATATCCACACAACCCCAATTATTATTATTCAAAAAGTTAGATTTAGATGCCTGTGTGTGCGTTTTTTTATAAAATTCTATTACGTTTCAGTATTGTTTGAGTGACGATAATGCTATTTCCTATGTGAGGTTCCGTTGTGAAAGCTGTGGCGTTTTGTTTAAGCTATTTCGGTGTATAGGTGATTGCTAGGCTATAGGTGACAAATTAATGGAAAACTTTTATGAATCCTTAAGTCGCCAAGTTATGACGACAGCGGCGAGTGTTAATTCTGTTTTTGAGCGAAAAAACTGTCCTTATTATTTCTAAACCTCAAACGCAACCAGACACGGCACTACCTGCGCCTCACCTCCGATGACGTCGAGGCTGCACCTTTTGGTGACGTCGTTGATCCGAACTTGCTCGTTCTTGACCGACATGTCGTGCAACGTCTCCGACATGGCGTCCGCGTGCTCGTTAAAAATGTCCATGAACTTTTCCAGGATCTTGAAGTGGAATCCCGGAGTCTGCACTTTCCGCTTTGCGCGCCAGATGTCGCCAGCGCTGCGAAGATAGTTAGTAAGTTAGTCTTGTTCATTCTAACATACTAAGATAATTTAATTTTTCGGAGACACGCGAGAGACTATAGTGTCACCAGGGTGGAAAGGCTGAACGTTTTTTTTTTCTTTTATCAAATAAAAGATCATATAAAAACGTAGAGACGCCATCAGAATCCGTGCCATTGAACTGGTATCATTATGCTTGCTTTTTATTAAAATTGTTGATCATACCTGGCTAGCACATTTTGTTCCCACTGAAATTAGGCTGTATTAACACTGACGACAAAATCGCTATACTCGGCGGGTTGTATTGCAAAAGGAATGCACATGCTTATAATCAAATGACGAGTTTCTAGGTTTTCGCCAGGATTGAAAGCCCCTAAAACCATTACTTACACGTAGAGGAGATTTCGCGGTCCCAGCCAGGGTATTGTGAATGTGTAAAAGAACGGCTTGTTCAGGTTGACGGCACTGGATAGCAGCACCTGTGGAAGACGAATCACAGTGAAAGACGCTCGACCAAGACACACGAGGCAACCCCGATTTATTACGCTGATTTTGCGAGAAAAGCAAAGCACAAATCGGGCAGGTTGGTAAAATAAGCGACCATTAAATGTCATGCGCTACGGTAAACTTTCAAACGTTTGAACTTTCCCGTTATGCAGAATCTGCGCCTTTGTCCACAGAGTTCAGAAAACTTAGCGTCCTTCTCTTAACAAGTTTGTAATTCTAGACTTCTCCATTGCTATAATTTCTGCGTCAACGATGGCATCCTTTTCGTTCTCTTGTATGCCCACATCGTTCCTCGGATTCCACCCTAACATTCCGAGCTCAATTGCATTGAATGTGATTTCCTTTCTTTTTCTCTTTTTTTAACAAACCGATTTCTTTAGGTTGTTTAAAATTGAGTTGATGGAATAAATGCCAAAGAAATCGAACATTCGCAGAAGAGCTTCATTCAATGAGTCGTATGATATGACAGATACAACAACCCTTTCATGTAATGCCATATTTATAAATTGTCTTGCCGTCGTGGTTGCTATCAGTCTTCAGGAAGGGCAGCACGGGGATTTCACGGATATATTTTTGTTGAAAAAGGCTTCCGGTAGCACTCTTCTAGTATAAAATTAGCCACGCCCTGAATTAACTCTGCGCTGACAAAGAAAAGGACCGCTTGCGTCGTTTCATAACCGTGACCTTTTTGTCATAACGAACACCTGCATTAAATTTATGAGGTCTGTTATCATCCGAAACCCCTTGAAAATTACATGTATAGAACTAAATTGACTTTCGTAAAGGTGTATTTATTTTAATTTGTACTGTAACGATTAATGGTCAAGGGCGTTCAGCATATTTCCTTGCCCGCCAACCAAACTATTTTTGTGGCGTTATCACGTGTCTAAAAACAAACAAGAAATATTATTACAAAAAAATTTGTCACTACACGAGTTGAAGTGAATTGTAAAATAAATTAAATTACCAAAAAATACCAAATAAAAAAAACAACTAAAGAATGTTTTCGTGAAGATGATGTGCGGGCTTCTGAGTGAAACTGCCGCGTTTCAAAGCATTAAATGCTATCAACGCTACCCCCCCCCCCCCCCCCTTCCCACAATCTCGTCCGTCCGTCCCTCTCTCTGTCTGTGCATTTCTCGCTAAAGTTTGGGGGAAATTGACATCACGAGACCTAAACACGCATTCAGTTTCTCAGCTAAATTTATCGGGAAACTTAATGTCAAGTGACCTGACGTCACGGGTCATATAGACTAATTCAGTTTCCCCGCGAAATGCAGAGGCAAATTGACGTCACCTGTCCTATACACCAATTCAGTTTCCGCTCTAAATTTGGCGGGAAAGTGGCGTCACGTGACGTCAGGGGAAATCGACGGCCGTGACCTATACGTCAACTAACTTTCCCCGCTAAATTTAGCGGGAAAATTCACGTCTTGTGACCTAGACGCCATTCCAGTTTTTCCGCTAAGTTTAGCGGGAGAAATCGACGTCAGGTGACTTGACGTCACGTGTCCTTTCCCAGGTGGATCTAGCGGGAAAAATTATGTAACTTTGACACACCAATCCCCTGACCAAATTTCCTATAATGCATTTTATGCATTCTTAATTTTAAAGGTAAAGGTCGTGGCGAATTTTTTTTTTCTTTTTATGCCAAGAGCCTTACGACGATAACCTCGGACATAAAGGTTTTCGTTTTTACTTCGAGTTCCTGGATACATCTGGATATTGAATCCGCTCTCTATTCGGAGTACGTTTGGGTATATTTCAAGTTTCAACATACTGTTATAGGCATAAAACGAATATTTAACGAGACGCGAAAGAAATAATTTTCTCCATATCCTCGCAGGTATTTTTTTCTCAAGAAGAACGAATATGTTCCTTGATATTCTTGACATGCATAACAAGAGAGCAATTGAGGAGATGCATCGTTCAAATTCTGGTTCTAGATACTTTCTAACATTGAAAAGCGATTCAAAGGAACCGTAGATATTTATAAAATATACATAAAATATCTTTCAAGTGGCTTTTATAGGCTACCATGTAGTCGCATCATTTATAATTTAAATAGATTTGCAATGGCTTTCTTAAAAGGTGAAGAACAAACCGTGAGATTAAATTTTGAATTCTAAGTTACTTGGTTCTAGCTTCGTTGAAGAGCTCTTCCATAAAATAGTTTGTTGAAGCATGGCCTCGGAGATTATTTTTCGCGCTGGTTGCGGAGCGCGCGAAAATTCTCAGAGGCCATGATGGAAGCATCTTCCCAAACGTAGTTCAGTGTGAAGACACAGTGTTCGTAGTTATTTATTCATTGCTCTATTTTCAGGGTCACACTAACAGCTATATGCCTTTATAAAAAATTCACAACGCACCGTTTTTATTTAAATATATATATTATCTTTTTTGTTGCCAAGAGATTTTTGTATTTGAGATACACCTTTTTTTTATTAAACACTTTGCGCAGTGCATTATACAAATGGCTTACCTCAGCGTGTTCGGCCGTTTGAATCACGACGATTGGAACAGCTGCGATGTATGCCTTGAACGTCCGGTTTTTGAACATCTCACACAGTCCACGCACGCTCTCGGAAAACTCTGTAATATGACATGGAAGAAGAAAAGAAGTAAATAAAACTACGCATGTATTTATCTATGTTTTATAACTAAACAGAGCATTGTTTGGTAATTGAAGCCGTTCAGTTTAATTGAAAAAGATATAGAGACAAATCAAAACTGGACTTCATATGTTTTCTGCACTGCACTGCGTGCAAGAGGTGGAATCAGCACACGCGGAGTCTTCCACGCAAATAAAGAAACAAGTTGCAAGCTACAACAAAAAGATGTACATTGGCGGTAGCTTTCTCAAAAAAAAAAAAAGAATGCTATAGATATTGTAAGTAGCAGTTAAAAATAATCAGTCATTGACATCTTTTATGCCAAACTAGGCGCGCGCTCTTAACGACGTCCCTCTCATGGCTAATGTCTGGCTCATACATTTGCGTTTGAGTGGTGTGAGCATGTCGCCATCTATCAAGTAGCCTTGCAACTCTTGCGGTCTGCGTATAATAGGATTAACTATTTCACGGTATGTTGCGAGAATAAATCTGCGCAATATTTACGAGAAGTGGTCACCTATTAAGTTGTAATAATTATTCCAATCCCAAAGTTCAAGGAAAAAGGAGTGAAAATCGACGGATAAACTCTTATAAACCACATTAGAAAGGGGGGGGGGGGGGGCAGGGTGCTACGGCATGGCTCTTTTAGGGCATGAGGGTAGTTAGAGGGTTTGTTCCGACGCTTGCCTTCTCCAAGAAGGAGGTAACAGATCTCGCCATGGTCAGGCGCGTCAGATTTCATCTCCCGTTCCAGTGTTTCATGGGTGCTCGATAGGTGGCGTCAGTGCGTTCTCTCCAGACTTGTGCCTATCTTAGATATTCTACTTAAGATACTGTGTTTCGAATACTTTTTGTAGTGTTTCGGTATCTTGCGAATACATTTCATCTAAAGTATTTACTGCTCTATCTTAATTACATTTCTCACAATCTTGTGCTCAGTATCTGAAATGCATTTTTCAACCTTAAAACATATGTGTCGCCGTAACAATCTACGGAACTAGGAATCGTCAGACTCCAGGGGAAAGCTGAACTGATTCGGACCTGGAGGCAAGCGACCAGACACAAACAGTAAACAAGGCACGAGCAAAACGCAGTCTCCGAATGCCAACAAACGACCACATGGATAGCCCGAAGTACGGCCCCTTTATGTGTCCTCCTGTCCGGTTATTTTTTTTTTAGGTTGTTTTTGAAAAGCACATTATGCTTAGAGCTAGCAAAGTGCTGGTGATGTCATTGGGATTTTAGATATTTTATTTGATCCTAGAGCGGAAAATTGTGACACCATCGCTTGGTACGTTCGCAAATGAACCGATTTCAGAAATCGCCGGTTCACGGGGTGATGGTATGAGAATGTGCGAGCACGTTTTTAAGGGAGCGCGAACACTCCCTCGGCCAAGGAAGCTAGATCCTACTAGCTATATTGAGCTGCAGTTACCTAGATTGGCCTTTCCCCAAGCCCCTTGTGTACCTATTGTGGTTTAACTTTGGCACCCAAGCTCCTTCAAAAGCGTTTTTTTTTTTTGTTCCGATTGCACAGTTTCTTGCCAGGTGGAGTGAGAGACTGGAAGCGGTTTCTGGGACGCTCTCGTGCTTTACTTTTTAGCCGTCAAGTCATATTCCGAACTTATTGCAAAGTCCGTCATGACCCTAGCCTGCTGCCAAATTAAGGCACGCCAGCTGCCATGCTTACAATATGTAAATCCCCCCTTCCCTCTAAAATCTTTCGGTACCCATTATGTTGCACGTTCCGCATTATTTCGAAGTAAACATCGATTGCAGCAGCAATGTCGCTTTTTGAAAGTTATAAACATTACAGCAGAATATGACTTTCAGTGAAGTCGTCGCAGGTAGAGCATACCTTTTGACTTTTTTATTCTAAATTATCAGCTTGCGACCCAGTTGCCGAGAATCTGCGAATGCAATTCCATTACTTTTTCAAAGTATTCGTGCTCTACTCGTGATAGTTCGTAGTAAAAGTAACTCAAATACTACTCTAAATACATTTTTAAAGAGGTATTTAGTACATCATCTTAAATACTTTTGTTAGGTATTTGACACAACACTGGTTCTCTCATCACCATCATCATCGTCGCCGTTAGAGAGCCTATATTTAAGAGAGGGAGCAACTCAAACCACGGAGAAAGTTCGCAATTTAGTGGCGAACACCTCCTCCGCCAATTGGTCTCAAGTGCGCATGCGTTGCGTTCTCCCGTGGTGACGAGAAAAACGGGCGTAAAGGCGGAGACGCTCGCGCACGATCAACGCTTATGGTCACCTCCTCGCCGCTAGTTTTGCAAACGTGACCCGTAAAGCACGTGATCCTAACCGAGCCTTCGGAAACACTTTGTAATTTAGGCTCACTACTCGTTGTAAGCGGTCAGAAGCGGTCACAAAGCAATCGGCCGCACTCAAAGCGCGCAAGACAACGATTAAAAATTCTGTTTACGCGAGAGCACCAGACATGTACACGTTTAACTGGAAAAGCGCATCAAAGACACGTGGAGGCGACAAAGAAGGTGCAGGAACAAGCCCTACTTACACCTAAACGTTTGTTGGAACAACGCTTACTATCTGTACACGCAGTCAAGCTCCGAACGCACACACACAGACACAAAAAAGCGAAATCTTTTTTAGTTAAGTTTACCGACGGTGCACTTACGCACTCTTACGCAAGAGGCCTCAAATTTTCCAGTTTCATTTTCAAGTTTCACTACGATTTTCGAATCTTCAAGATTAGGCGCAAAGAAGCACCTACCTCGATGAATGAGGAGATTGTCTGATGGGGAGCATGTGACAGGTAGGGCGTGTTCACGTTCGTTGTCATTTATACACCTGTTCGTTTGCCAAACGCACACTCTACCGCGAGTCATTGTACTCTCGTAGACAACTGACGTTGCACACTCAACGTACTGCGCTGCGTGTTTCTTAGCACATGTCTTTGTTCCTTTTCTTTTTTGTTGCACTCTTGAGCACATGCTAGATTAGAGCCACTAAATGAGTTACGCTCATTGATATTGTTGTGGGCGCCGCAATCTTGGTGCTTAGAACAGAGCAGACGCAACTGCCGATCGTCATGATTCAAAAGTGCAAGTTCCTCAGCATTAGATTCGGCGCTAGGAAACTCATTTAATACTGCATTGCTCTGCCGCGAACTGTTTAAACATTTGCCGAGGACTGAAAAACATTTTTTGTGATTCTAGATAAAGCTGCAGATAACTGGCAACCATGATTTTAAGCCCCCTGGTTACTCTGAAGCGTAGCTTATTTAGGAGCTCTAGGCAAGACCATTTAGACGGGACAGAGAGCACCACAGACAGTTCAAAGTGTGCGGCAACTCTCTTAAAGTTATGGGGTAGCCTATGGACGTATGGGATCCGCCACCGTTCTATTGTTTTTTTTTTTCCTGAAAGTTTTTTTTTCGCGACTTCTTCTTTCTCACGTTCACGTATTTTTTAGATGCTTTTTGAGTTAAACCTGCACCAACTAGCCCACTTAACCATTTTAATGTACATGTTACTGAAATTTGGCAACTAAATACCGTTACTTGCTACTCACTCAAAAGGTAATTAACTTAGTTACTTGTTACTGCAACTCAAGGGGAACGCGCTACCTCATCTTGCAAGTAGCGCGTTATATTTCTTGTTACTCCGAATGTATGCGGAGCGCAAGTTGGTCTGCTTCTTGCACAGGGGTTCCGGTGATGTCAGAACACCGAGCTCCTATTGGCTCTGATTTGACAATAGCGGGTAGACCTTAAGGCATCTAGCATTGAGGTCTACCCACTATCCTCCCAATCAAAGCCAATCAGAACTCGGCGTCGTTCTGACGTCACCGCAACCTCTGCGCAGGAGGCAGACGAACTTGCGCTCCGGGTTGTTTCTTCCTACGAAGCGGTAGCCACGACTCCAAGAATTGTCGTCATTACTAACTCACTTTTAACGCGTTCCTTCAGGAATAATTCTGGGGCTATACTGACATACCTTGTGCACATACTTTATGGTCTATGTGGCTTTTTTCTAGTCGCGCAAATTAAAGGAGTGGGTTGAGAACCAGGCTGGGCACCTTTGTTGCACACGTTCCCCTCCAAAAGTTACTAGATACCGTCGCTCGTTACTTTATCAAAAGGTTAAGAAAATACGTTAGGGTTCCTCTTCTTACGAAGGAACTGGGCTGTTAGTTCGTTACAGAAAGAAAAGTAACTACTAGATTCGAGTAGCATGTTACTTGTGACGCGTTTACGTGCAAGTCTGGTCGGTGCGCGCTCTTTTTCTTTTACCTCCAAGCTTTGCGTACGGGCACTCTTGAGTGTCTAAATCGTTTAACTTTGTTTGCAATGCGCGCTCGCGTACGGACGGCCATCATTACAATGTTTGGCGTCGTCTTTCCCGGCTCTTGTTTTGGGAAATGGGTGGTTTTAAAGTATGGGGGACTGCGACGGCGGCTACACGTTGAAAAGTTTCCGGACGGCCGCTGATTATAGTGATTGAGGCACGAGGGGAGGATTCAGGTGCATCTTTGACGTCGGGGGAGGCGACGTGCCATTGCGGGTTTGAGGCGAAATCACTGCCGAGTCACGACCAAGTAAAATCGGAGGATAGCGGTAGGCGCAAGGAAAGACGCTACATTAAAAATTCACCGGGTGTTTCCTTCTTCTTTTCTCTTTATTCGAGTGGCATTTCCAAACGGTTGTTGTTTGAAAATATCGAAACGACCTCGACCATGTCATTTTTCTTTGCTAAAAATTACAGCTTGAAATGCACCAATAGATAGTGCAGGTCTCTCTCTCCTCATAAGAGCGAGCACGCATTACATTCAGCAAAATGTCTGGCTAATTCAGATAATAATAAAAAAAAATATATTGCAACGTCAGACGCCCGCCTGGTTGTTGTGACAGCTGTCAAATCCTTGGAAATTATACTTTTGAGTTTATTGTACACTTAAACAGTATGGATGGAGCAATCGCAGTCCATACGAGGGTGA